TGGTTGAACATGCATATCCCTTAATCCATTTTGATAAATACCCAGTAGCAAACAAAATATATTTTCTTGTCATTTGATGGTGGAGAAGGTCCCATGAAATCGATGACCCATAAATGAAATAATTCAACCTCAAGTACGTCTTTTAGGGGCATCTCATCTCTATGAGAAATATAATCCGTACGTTGGCAAGCATCACACTTTCGTACAAGTTACGAGCATCTTCGTAATTCAAAGGCCAATAAAATCTACATTCAAGTACCTTATGAGCGGCTCGGTTCGGACCCACGTGGCCTCCTTCAAGTCCTTCATGGCATGCTTGTAGCACCTTCAGAACCTCATGATCCACGATGCATCATCTTATTACTTATGCATATATTCTAAAAAGGAATTGTTCGTCCCAAATATAATACTTATTGTCATGTTTGAATTTTCTCTTTTGAAATTTTCATTTCAAATGTGAAGGCATTGTATCACATGCTAACTAATTACCTAAATTATCATACCATGGGTCTAGCTTCAAATCACCTATAGAATATAACTTTTCATTCATAAAACAATCTGATATTTCTGATCCATAATCACGGGTTGTTGTCCACCATCAGAGATGGTCTGCTACAAGATTGTCGAGTCCTTTTCGGTCCTAATCTCCAGCTTGAACCCTTGTAATAATAGAAGCCAACGAATTATACATGGCTTTGCATCTTCTTTGAGAAAAAATACTTCACAACAGCATAGTCTGTGACAATAATTGTTTTCAACCCAATTAAATATGGTCGAAATTTTCACATGCATAGACAATCAATAATTTTTTCAGTTGGGTGAATGCTCCATGGCTTTCGTCACTGTGTCTTGGCAGGTCAAACCTTTCATCTGTGCACATGTGAATCGTGTGATGGAGGTGGCGCTGAATGCAACCATTTTATTATCTGGTGCATTGTGCATTTTTCAGTGGTATGGTGATACTAAAGTCATATCCATTTCGGCTCTCCTTTCGGAGAGTACACTGAATGCCTCGGACAATATCTGAAATGCACCATTTGCCCCTATCTTATCTAGAGCACATCTGAGGAAAAAAATTTGACTAGATAAATTAAAGCGTGTAATAACTGCATGTTTAATGTATGGCATTTTAGATGTTCTTGACAAACCATGTGACTAATTAAGAATCTACTTTATAATCATATAATCATTGAGGAAAATTTGCATTCAGTGCTGGTTCTAAAACATGTCGGTGATGTAATATGATCTAGCTTGCTCAACTAGTTACTATTTAGTTTCTTCCTGAATACCGCTTCATTTACAACCTTAGTTGACACTCTCAAATATAAGAAAAAGTCAAAATGCTATGAATCTTTGTATAGGATTGGAATTATACATAATATATATATATATCCTGAAATCACATATTTTCAACAATTCTATAATCTTATGATTTCAACATCTATTATTGAATGTATGCTCTCAGATTATAACAATTATTTGTGCCTTGTATCTTAGATCAAAGGAGTAAATTCTAATTTTCAGTCACTTCAAATAGCTTTAAGATATATTTGCAGTCTTGAAATACTCTACTGAATTTTTGCGTCACATTATAGTATCCCACAAATAGAGAAAAATTAAATTACATTTCGGAACACATGAACCTCTCCAAATACCTTAATTAACTATATATATTGAATGCTTAAATGAACCTTCGTACTATCCCCTATATATTTTTTATATTAATTGTCATTAATTATTTCATATCTGATAAACGGAACTTGATGAACTCACCATGTACATTACATTTTAAAAACAATACAGTAAAACCATGAAAAAATTGTTGTTAGAACACATGATTTTTTTACTTTATTTTTGAAGGAAAAGTAGCCTTCTTCGATCCGAATCCATGACTTCAAAATCGTACAAACCAGAACTAGAATGTGAACCTGCAGTTAGAAGTTACAAAATGACATGAATGAGGGATAACGCCTAGGCATACCTCTACTCCTTCCGAATGCATCACATAATCTTGTGACAATAAAGTGCAACAGTGGAGGAAGTCCCTGTGGCCAAAATGGAGCTGAAGTTCTTTGGTCTAGTGTCTAGTGTGCATGTGCATGTGCTCTCATATGTGTATAAATATTTATGATCACATTGAAATAACATTCCCACTCATTTCCCAACGCATCGAAATAACATTTCTACTTCCACATGCTTCACCAATCATATCCTCACTCACATTCCCATTATGTTCCTCACGCATTAAAATGATTAAATGCTCTGGCAATTTTGGAGATACTACGAATTGTGTTAGGTAGGGTTCGAAGAATGATATTTCTAATAATTTGAAACATTGAAATAAATGTTACCATCAACTGTAAAAGGAAACTATATTTAGAGTTTTAACTATAGAGATAACAATGTCTCTATAATATTTGTACAACACAACGACATTCTTTAATTACTTATTGAATAATCCTTGCTATGCAAATAATCCTCCATTGAAATACGTCTTGGTGATGGATCCAATGAGGCATTTTGAGACATGAAGGATGAAGTTGAAGCTTTTCTGACTTACTTATAGAGCCAAGTCCCTGTGCACGACCATCCAAAGTGAAACTGGGAAATACATTTATGAGTTCTGTTGGGTGTGGTTTTGAGTAGGATTTATTGTCGAATAACCCTCTAAATTAATTACAAGAATTTATTCAAAAGAATTTAAATTCAAAATTTATCGAAGCTAATTAATTGATGACAAGAAATGCTGTTGGTCAAGAAAAATAAGTCTAATGTTGTGATTATAGTTGCTTTAAGCATTTTTGCGCTTTAGGAGTATTACATAGAAGATTAGACTTAATTTTATAGATATATATATATTTTTTTTTGCGCGAATATACCAGAATGACAACCAGTAGAAAATGGGGACACGTTCATGATAATTCATCCAAGAGTTTATGCCACAATTTATGTGGATTTTCAATAATAGCTTTTCCAAAATGGGGACACTTTAATGAAAAAAGCCACTGGATATTACCTGTGATACTTTCACGACTTTATATAGAGATGAAAGGTGTAACAACATCATGACTCTAGATAGTCCACTACCACAAAACTGTTAATTTATCTCGGAAAATTGTCTCGAAAAAAAACGCCGAGACAATCTTGTATTACAGAACCTTGTTTTGAGACAAATTAGTGTCTCAACCATGGGTTGAGACATTAGTGCGATAATTTATCTGGACGATAATCTCGAAAGTTATTTGTGACAATATATTGTTTCAGATTTGTCTCAAACACCACCGAGAGTACAAATTGTCTCGGAATAAGTTTCGAAAATCTAACTAATTGGACAACTAGTTTTTAACTTGCTCTAATTCACGACAAAAATTATTAGCATATCATATAGCCATACATTTGACTTGAGAGTCAAGATAGTTCCAACATTGTTACATATTCGATAAAGGCTCGTGAGTGTGAGATTACTCAATGAATATTAAGTGCGTTTTTCGCCTTTTTTATTAAAAGACCACATAGTCGCATATATGATAGCCTCTTGGTATCAGACTTTATCGGTGGTTTGTTCTTTGAATGGCCAGAAATATAGGCATTCACTTCTACTGATCTGCTTGTATTTTCCTCTTGGGATTGATAGCTGGAGTTGGTTCCAAGATTTCTGAAGCAATGTCTTTAAAGTTTTTAGCAACTGTTGATGGGGCACTTTAAAATAAAGTTTTCCTTGGACCATCAATCTCTTCATTCTATTTGTTCTTTTGAGTTTAAACCTAACTATGATTTTATAAAAATGTATAAAATTAAAAAAGATTTACAGCTCTTTTGTTTTTGTTTTTTTTTTTTTTTTTGTTCATGATTTGTAGGGGGTTGGAGTTGGTGGTGGTTCTGAAATGAAAATATTTGTCTGATTTTTCAAGCTTTCAATCAATACATATTTGGAAAACACAATATTCCTTCGTAGTGATTTTATAGTTTGTTTTAATCTCATTTATTTTTTTGTTGGCTTTCGTGAAATTTGGAAGGCATTTAATTGGAAGTTGTTGATGAAACGATGACATATTCTAAAAATATATAAAATATTAAATATAGGAGTTTCTTTGATGAATTTTATAATTTTGTTTTTATTATTGGAAAATTGTAAAATGGATGAAAGTGGATTTAAGTCCCACGTAGTGTTGGCCTAACAAATTTTTCTTTAGATTTATGCCTTTTTAAATTTTCACTAATAGTTTTGTCTTATTTTTTGTTCTCACCTTAACTTTAGTTCTTGGTTAGGACCTCAACCCAGTCCCAATGAAATTCACTAATTTTCAAGTTTAGGACCAACTAGTGACATATATATATATATATATTAATTTACTAGTTTTATTTATTTAATATAATTAAAAGTTTGAAGTGAGATGTGAACATACCTGAAGGCAAGAGACTACAGCATGGATTTATTTCCTTAGGCGAACCTAAATAAAAATGCCAAAAACCTAATACTCACTACCAAAAAATTGATTTTTTGTAGCGCCTAAAGTACCCGTAACAATAAGTTTGTTACAAAAAGAAGTTTTTGTTGCAAAATTAATCGATACAAAAAGTTATTTTCGGTAGTCAACTTTTTTTTTTCCTTTGCTTCGATAAGTTATCCGTAACAAATAAATATGGGACAATATGTCGTCCTATATATGTCTTTGTTACATAATTCAAACCGTAATAAAAAATCAATATTTTAATTATAAAAATAGAAAAATTCATATAAAATTATTTTGAAATTTAAGAAAAAAATAATCATTTGTTTTGATAATTATCTGTAACAACTACATATTAAACGAAATATTATCTAACTAATTATGTTTGTTATGCGCTTAGATTGTAACAAAAAGATTAATCTTATAATTATAAATAAAAATTTTAAAAAATATAAATATATTTTAAAATTCAATAAATAAATAAATAAAGTCATTGAAAAAGTATACTAAGACAAAATTCACATCAATTCAAAAGAGTTTTCCCCAAAATCGATTCTTTCCCATCCCGAGACCCCAATCGACGGTGCCCTCGAGGGCTCGACCATCTACTCCTCTTCCTCTCACCACCGTCCAATCACCGGCGACACTTCAACAGGTCAACGCTGCACCACTGCTCCCCTTCACCATCGCGCCGGCCTCTGCCCAAACCCGATGCCCCACCACCCCCAGCCGTGGAACGCCGCCCAGACCATCTCCGTTCCGCCACCACTCGTCAACGCGACCACAGCCTCTCCGTCCACCATCGTCTCCTGGACCGAGCTAAGGCCACCGCGAACCATCACCCTACCTCTCAGTCCCCACCACCGTGGCCGCGCCTTCTCCCAGCCCAACAAATCCAACCGATGCCGTCATCTCCTCCTCTAATTTAGAATTGTTTGTTTGGGTATTATTCTATCTTCCCCTTCATTTGATTATGAGGTAAAATTGTTCCAATTGTGCTTTATGTATGGACACTGATTTTTGTGAAATTTCTTTTTTTGTTCCCCTCTTCTCAGTCACGATGATAAGGTTAATTGTTCTTATTGTGTTTGATTTAAGATTGGTATTTATTTTTAAGGAATTTCGGCCTGGTTAGAACATTGGTGTGATATAGGGGCATGTAGTTAGTTGCTTTGAACTGATAATGCCTAAGTGACAACTTCGAATTGAATTTAGTTTTTCTTGGGAGTTCTTGTTCTTGTTTTGTGGTTTCTAGTTGATGTTTTGTGAAATCAGCTTATTTTTAGGCATATTCGATGATTTTGATTGATATTTCATAATGATAGGCATTATTATTTCTAACTTGAATATAATCTTCTTCTTTGAATTATTGTTTGTGGTTGCAAAAAGTTTTGATGGTGGATTCAAATATGAAACCTTTCAGCTTAAATTAAACTTTGAAGTAATATTTGTGAGGTAAATTGTCTTTGTTGGGCTTAATTTGAGGTTTACTTTTGAGGTTGGTATTGATTTTTATAATGGAATTCAATTTCCCTTCTGTTAGCAGGTATAAGATGGTTGTCTATTGTTTTTTGAATTTCTATTGATATAATGAAGTGAATAAGCATTGGTGGTGACTCGAGTGTTTCCTTTGGAATCCATTTTGTATAGTTTTTAGGTGTTTCTGTATTAAATAAATCACAATGAACAATTGTTTCGAGGATCTACAGAGTAATGATAGGATGATGGCTCTTCTTAAATGAATTTAAAGGCTTTGAAATAATATATGATTTTCTACTTAGCTTTGTGAAAGAAGAATTCTTCGTTGTCTTCCCACTTCTAGGTGAAATTTGTTTTTTTTAAATGGTTAAAAAAAAAGTGAGTAATTGCAAACACACTTTTAATGATTTTATGTTTTCTAGTTTTCTTTTATGGAAAATGCACAAATGAACTATCCTTTTTATTTTTTATTTTCATTATGAAGAGTTTTCATATAATTTCGCACTAACTTATTAAGAGTTTACATTTATTTTGCACTTTTAGTTATTCCTCTATAAAATTCCAGATGATGATTTTATATATTTTTTGAGTTGTTGTGTGATATATTGGCTTATAGGCTGTTCTCATTTACGATTTTAGTTAAATTAGATTGTGCTATACCTAATGATTGCAATGTGCATTTCGATCGATGTTGGAATTAGTTTTAGCCATTGCCCTTGCGCTAAATATGTTTGGTTAAATGTCTTTTAGCTGTTGTTGCATTTTGCTTTGGGAAAAATTAAAAGCTACTAATGACTTGTTGTTTGGTTTAACTATAGTTCCTCCTCAGTGTCAACTGTAAATGTTCGAGGGCGGAGAAAAATTCAAGTGTGAGAAAATTATGATTAGCCCCAATAATAAAATTTCTCTGCTTATAATACAGGCGTTCATCTTTGAAGGGGAGTATGTATGGCTATTTATTTCTAATATTGGCTATGATAATTCGTGTTGTAGTTATTTAGACTTAGTGTAGTCTAATCTGTATTTTGCATCCTACTAGCATTGTAAGTTCACTAGATTAGTTTGTTATATATTAGAGTAGTAAGTAATTTAGTATAGATTCATCCATGCTATGTTAGTATTTGGTTTAGTTTTGGTCTTCTAGGTTTAGTCCTTAGCCTAGCATTAGTTCTCTCATTACTTTAGTTGTAGTCATATTTGTTAGATAGTTTGCAAGTAGTTTAATATTAGCATAAGAGAAACTAGATTTAAGTCAATATATAGCTTAATTAATTTGATTAGTGTAACTCTGTTTAATTTTGTCTGTTGCTATTGTAGGAATAATTAATCAAGCTAGTTTACTTTTTATTTTTGTTGCCGTCTGCTGCATATTTTTGTTGTGTGACCTTGTTTGGTTGCTAGTTGTTCGATGTATAATCCTTTTATATAGAAGTATAGTAGTTGTTGTTGGTTAGTGATAGATATAGTTATGTTGTTAGGTTCAGTTTCCGAGTCCTTAGGATATTGTAGTCTAATAGTTTAGCTAGTTGTTCGTATAACTCATTGTTGCTAACCACTTTAATTGTGCTTGCCACCATGGATGATTTGCCGGTATAATCTACAAACATACTTTTGGTTTGTTGGAGCTTTGCTTCAATGCTGCATTAGGTTGGTTGTAATTTATAACTTGCAACTTAGGCAATATTGATCTTTTAGCCTACTAATTTGTTATAGCATAATTTTACTTAGCTTGCTCCGTTGTATGAAATTATTTTTATTGTAGTAATTGTGTATAAGTTTATGGTTGTTTGATCTCAAATTTGTAGTTAGGAGAGATAGCTGACTTATATGTTCCACGAAATTTTTTATTCTTGAACAATTTTTTTCCTTTATTGTATATGTTTGTGTTGCAATCATGCTCTAGTTCCAAATATTCCATGTAAAGAAATATTTGAGGCCATTTAATTGTACAACGTGAAATGGACATAAAATGGATCCTGTGTAAGATTGTTATATCTAGCTTCTGGTTATATCGTTGTAGGGCATGTCTATTTTGGGTTTAAGGTAGTTGTATGGTTGAACTTTATTTGTAGGGCTTGATTGGTGGTTACTTGGTTGCTATTGGGGAGCTGTGTTCGTTTTTTTTACTGAAGGATTGTCCATCTATGATCGTGGTGATTTATAATTATTAGTATATGTGTAAGGGGAGTTGGCCCTTATGGTCCATGTTGTGTTATTTATTTTCATAATGTTCAGGGGTCAGCCTATTTTATTAGTGCTTTTCGAGTTTATTTATTATTATACTTGTATTTAAGATAGGGTCCCTAGATCAAGCTAAAGCGTAAGTTTTATTTTATTATATTCATCCTCGTAACTAGCGCTCGTTTAATCTATTTATATAGGTGATACCCTAGCCATTGTTAAGGTGTATGTTACAGCTGTAATGGTCCCGGAGACCGCACTTATCCTCCCAACTAATGCTGGAGCGAAAATTCTCGGTGATGTACTCGACGGAGATAATATCGAGTGGATTTTCAAGGACGTACGGAATTTTTTATTTACTTTATTCTTTTGGAAATTAAATTACTTCATTTTCTGTAATAAATGCTTATATATTATTAAAAACACATTGCAGTTGGTTCGCCGCCCGTGATTGCAGCCTCCATGATTCTGCACTCGACTAGCTGAGTCATTCACAGTAGTGTTTATGAGTTGCCCTTAAGATCGTACTTCCGTATGATATTAGAATTATCTATTTATGTATTACTTTTGGGTTTTGCGTATCGTTATTTAGTAGGTTGTTATGTTGGTGTACGGATTGGTGTTTTGTTGTGATGTTTTGTTAACACCGTTGACGACTAATATTTTATTTTTGGCTGGACTATGAACATCGTTGTATTGATGACCATGTGTAGTATTTTGATGGATTTAGAAACAATTATGATAAGATTAAGTTTTAAATTATTTGTCTCGCAGATTAATAATACAGACAAATGGAATTTATTTATGGAGACAAAACTACAATGCCACACAGGGACGTCTTTTGTAGCATATTCTTAGTTACGAACAGTGGCCGGTACAAATGGTAATGAATGGTTGCCTGACTTTTGTCATGATTTTTTGTTGCGGAGGGGGCAGTCCTTTCATAATGTATTGTTGTTACGGACACATCTTGTAACAAGAAGTTTTCTGACAAGATTAGACATTTGTAACGCATTTGTTGCTTCGGACATATGTCGTAACAAATATTTTTCTGACACTATTCAACTTTTGTTTCGCAGTATTTGTGTCGGATATTTGTCGGTTCAAAAACATGATTGATGTTTTTGTTACATACCAAAAACCGTAACAAATATAATTAACACGTTCTTATTTTGAGAGTTGACCACCTAATATTTGTTACGGATTTTGTTGCGACACGAGCTTTTTGAACTGCGATTTTTCGTAGCGGTCATAATCCGTAACAAAGTCGACACAAAAAACTATTTTGCACAAAAAATGGGTTTTAGTTACGAATATTAGATCGTTACAAAAAGACCTTTTTTTTTTTTTGGTAGTGACTTCTTTTTTTGTTATAAATTTATTGGTAGAAACTTTATATTGATTATAGATTAAATCAATTGTATAATATGGATAAATATCGAATTGAAAACTATGAATCCTAAATCAAAGAAAATTAATATAAGTAAATAAAATGGTACGAAAATGATAGTCAAGATTTTATGTCTAAGTTAAGAATATGGCAAATAAAATTATGTATTTGATCCAATTACTTTGATTATTGTATCTCGATAAAACTAAAATTGCATCTTCCAGAGATTGAAGCCAAAGATGCTTCGAATTCAGATGCTCCACAAAGTGTAGAAAAGATGTATAGAAATAGACATTAGTGTCGATTTCTCAAAGTGTACTTTGCGGATGAACTTCGACAACATCCTGCAGGAAACTGATGGATTCCTCAACATTTTCCATTAGCTTTTTTGTTTAGATGATGAGGACCGAGTTCAGAAGCCTTCTGGAGGACCGAGTTCAGAAGCATGCTAAATCAAACCAAATTAAACTAGTAGCCTCCGTCAATGTTGCGGCGACAGAACCAATTCGATATTCTCTCAGAACTTCATCTGTGTTAGGAAGTGTTGAAAGAGGAATACAAGAACAAATTGAGTAGGCTAGGAAAAGATGCTTTGAAAGATATATTTTCTAATTTTTGTGTTGTTTGATATCAAATGATGAACATGGATGCATATTTATAGGTCCAAAGGTACATCTAGATGCATTTATGATTAATTAGATGCATGCATGACCTTTGAACTACATTTATGCATATTTTAAATAGATACATGTACATTTTTATATGGATTCATTATTAGATACATGTATGCATTGATTGAAAATATCAAATTAATAATTCAAACAAGAAGCACTCCTTCCCATAAATATTTCAGGGAGTTGATATCATAGGATTTTGCTCGTCAATACCGGAAACATCATCAATTCGCTCGTCTTCTTTCCCTTCCTCTTTTGCAGCCTGACAATGCCTTTCTCATGAAGTTTATTTTTTCCAACAGTCTTTCAATATCTTCATGGACACACTTACCAAGTATAGGCATCAAAGTTTGTGAGAGTAGCCTGCGGATCACAGTATTGACTTTATGGGCAGCCAGGGCCATTTCCCTTAGCAAACTTTCCACTTCTTGGCTGAAAAACTTTAAAAAAGTCGTTGAAGAAATGGATGGCTTCCTCCACAGGACCATAGCTTCCACTTGTTTTGTGTTTAGAGACCGGCGGCCACCCTGAGCAACCTTGTCAACGATTTTCTGAAGATTTATTACATAAGCCACGGATTGACAAGTAGGCCCCGTCATTCTTGCAATGAAAGTAGCAATTTGATATTTTACCTCATGTTCTATATCAGAAACATGAATTGAAATCTCATTTCCGAACTGGTGTTGCTCCTCCCATATTTTCTTTGCCGAATCAATGACATACTCACTGATAATACTTCACAGTAATTGATTGCAATTGTTGTTACACATCCACGATCAATATGTCATATATACACAATAAAACCACTAACTAAACCAAAGAACTTAAAGAATCTTTTATTAAACGAAAGCAAATGTTTGGACTCAGGTTACCCAAACTAATATCGATCCTAAAACCCACTATAACGCACAATATCAACCCAAACACAACCGACATCCACGGAAACGCAACAAACATGCGAACCAAACCACGATCTAACGAAAACACAAGCGATTTTAAGCCTAATCCTTCCCAACAGACAATATAATCAATACACTGTAAAGGAAAGCTCGAAATCGTAAATCAAACCGAGGAACAGCCTCAGCACAGGCTGTTTATCGATGAGCTCAGTCGAACCAATCGAATCGCCGGACAGATCACCGGAGAAACCCAAGGAAGATCGCTGGAGTTGCCGTCGTCGATTAGGGCTTCTAGAGAGAAGATTAGAGAATCGGGGAGAGAGAATGTGAGGATGAGTGAGTGTATGTATGTATATCTCTGAACCGGGCCCCTCCCCCTCTTCATATATCAGACAGAACTGGACCGGGTTCGGTTCTTGGGCGGTTCAGCTATGGACCGCCGGTTTCACAAAGAACCGGATCTGGTTCGGGTCACTGGATCCGGGTTTCGGGTAGTGCGGGTTTGTGCATTACCGGCCTCACTTGTCATTGGCCAAAAATAACTCCACAATCTCCACCTTTTTGGGCATAGAGAAAGATGCACATCATGGGCGTCATCACGGTCCGAGCAATGATCGCTTTCAATCTTTTAACCTGCGGACTTACCTACCAAGATTAGAATTCTCAAAACAAAACAAACAAAAAAAAATTTCCATTCCAACACCCAAAAAAACAGAAACAGAACCAAAACCAGGGAAAAGGAAAAAAAAAGTAAATTACAGTTTGAAAAAACCAAATTCTAATCAAAAGTATCAATGTACACCGTTTTCTTACACAAGTTAAATTTTGAAAACGACAAAACTTTAGTCCCCATGTCCGCAGGGTTATATTCAGTTGGAATTTTTTCAAGTTTCAAAAGCCCTTTTGACACAATATCGCGTATAAAATGAAACCTAACATCTATATGTTTAGTTCGGTCATGAAAGGGTTTTTACAAAGTTGGATCCCCGATTGACTATCTGAAAAACAGTTACATCATTTTCCAAATATCCAATTTCACTTAACAGGCCTTTTAACCATAAAGCTTCTTTTAATGCTTCCGTTATAGCCATATATTCAGATTCGGTAGTAGAAAGAGCAACTATATGTTGGAGTTGAGACTTCCAACTAACACATGAACCACATAGTGTAAAGATATAAGATGTAGTTGATTTCCTAGAATCTCTATCATTAGCATAATTGGAATCCACATACCCATTTAGTTTAATCTCACTTATGTGTTTACCAAAAACTAAACCAACATCCATAGTACCAACCAAATATCTAAACACACATTTTAATGCATTCCAATGTTCCACACCCGGATTAGCCATATAGCGACTCAAGCAACTAATGGCATATGCTAAATCGGGTCTAATACACACCATTAGGTACATGATGGAGCCTATGGCATTAGAGTAAGGAACATTCTTCATGTAAATCACATCACTTTCAGATTTTGGACATTGTTCTTTAGTTAAAATGAAATTAAATGCTAAAGGGACTGTTGAGCATTTTGCATCACATTGAAAACTTTTTCAGAATTTTCTTAATATAAGAAGATTGGTTAAGAAACAACATATTCTCTCTTCTATTCCTCACTATATTCATGCCAAGTATTACTTTTGCATCCCCTAAATGTTTCATATCAAATTTCTTGCTTAAACAATTTTTCACATGATTTATTGACTCCAAACAAGGACCCATCAACAACATATCATCAACATACAACAGTAAGAATATAGGATGTTTACATGCTATCTTAAAATATAAGCAATGGTCAAAGTTACTTCTAATGAATTCCATAGATCTCATACATTTATCAAATTTTAAGTTCCATTGCCTAGGGGACTGTTTTAATCCATAGAGTGATTTCTTTAAAAGAAAAACATGATTTGTTTTATTTTTATCAAGATAACATTCCAGTTGTTTCATGTATATCTTCTCAACTAAATCACCATGTAAAAATGTTGTTTTTACATATAATTGTATCAATTCCCAATCAAAATAAGCAACCAAAGTAAGCATGCATCTTATAGTGGAATATTTAACAACCGGCGCAAATATCTCATTGTAATCTATATCCCTTAGCAACTAATCTAGCTTTAAATCTAACTCCATTTTCATCTTGTTTTACTTTATACAACCATTTACATTCAATTACAGAATAGTTAGGCAATCTTTGCACCAAATTTCAAGTATTATTATCATATAGTGATTTCATCTCTTCATTCATAGCCTTAACCCATTCATTTCTATGTTTAGAGTTTATTGCCTCATGGTATGACTTTGGTTCATTCCCATCTAATGACTCAAACACATTATGAACTAATGAAGTAACATCAAAGTCATTCAATCTAGATGGAAGTCTAATGTTCCGCCTACTTCTATCCCTAGTTAATTGATAATTCTCAAGATTATAAGGTTCAACATCAGCAAGATCAGAAACAGAAACTTCACTTAAATTTCCAGGACTGCTGCCTGGTCCAGATTCAGCAACTTCTGTGCTGTAATCTGGATCAGCACTGGCTGTATCAAAAATAGCCTCATTTGGAGCAAAATTCTCACTTAATTCAGCCTCTTCTTCGGCTGGATTAAAATGAATTTGCTCCACCTCGCTTGGAGTATTATTTGAGTTACTTATTATTGAATTTTCATCAATTTTGAACTGATTTTCTTTCAAACAGGGCATTTCAGTTTCATTAAATGCTACATCTCGACTAATAAATGTTTTAAAA